GAGAGGTTTTTGCTATAGGGTGCGTGCGCTCGCCAGACAGACAGAGACATAGAGACAGAAAGCGAGAAATTAACCCCCAGGGGGGGATGGTCACGCTGCAATCTCTTCTCCTCCATTCTCCTCTTGGGATCTTGGGCACACATGCACACGTGCCCGGCGTGAGTTTTAAGCCACCGGGTCCGGGATGCAAATCGCAGTCGACTACGTGGGAGTCCAGCGACATAGCCATTACGCTAACTGCTGGTTCCCAAAACTATGTTAAATCTTAAAAATTCAAAATTGTGTAAACAATTTACTGATAACTGTTAGGGCACAAGCTAGGGGGCACCATTTTCTGAAGTTGAAATGTCATCTTACAGAATATAAGATATACTCTAAGCCATACACAGCACTTGCCTATCCCAAGTACCAGGTAGAATGCAAGTATTCAAATACAATGTTTTATTTTCAATCTTTGTGACTCTTAGCAGTAAGAGAGGAACATTTCTATAAGGGACAGGAACCATCTAGCCATTTCACATCACTAAGGCAATACATACAGTAGCATGCATAGTATTGATAAGATCTATGATTTAACTGAGCCATCAGGGAGAAATAAAGTTATCTTAAAAAGGAGGTCATAGGAGCCAGCAGGTGACATGGCGGTTAGGGCACTAGACTTCCACATGGCTGACTGCTTGAAAATCACACCAAGAACGTGTGCAAGAAGGCCCCAAATCCCAGAAGAATAGAGTGGAAGAGATTGGCATGGCCATTCCCCCTTGGGGGTTATTTCTCACTTTCCCTCTACTGTCTCTCTCTGGTGAGCACACACACCCTATGGCAAAAAAACCTTAGAAATAAATGGATATGGACCAGCAAATGGTGTAATGGTTATGTCACTGGACTCCCATGTAGTTGACCACGGTTTGAGTCCCAAACCCAGCAGCTTAAAACACAAATGTTGGGTACATATGCATGTGTGCTCAAAATCCTGAGAGGAGAATAGGGGAGAAGAGACTGTGGCATGGCCATCCCCCAGGGGGGTGATTTCTTGCTTTCTGTCTTTCTGCCTCTCTGGCAAGCACACATACCCTATAGCAAAAAAAAATCTCTTAAATAAATAAATAAATAAAATTGATAGGAGTATGACTAATAACTAGGAGAAAACTTCACCATGCCTAATGATAGATACTAACAAAAAATGACCATGTATGGTCAAAAATGACCATAACCCTATATATATAAAGTCTCAGATGACTTAGGAATATTTGTACCACTCTGTCAGACAGACAAAACAAAACAAAACAAACTATAGCCTCTATTTGTATTTGGTCACTGCTATAGTCATTACTGTTATAATACTGATTTATTAATTTTTTTCTGCTACCAGTGTATATAAAGCTTGACAGTAACAATTAAATTCACCATTTAAAGGTTGCAGAAAATTGATAACAACAATTGGGCAGAATTACAATGAACTCAGAACAAGAATGGATATCATAGAGACATGGGGAATTTAGAGACAGATGGCTGGCTTATTGAAGTTCTCAACAACTTTGTTAGCCTGCAGTAGTCTTAAGGTTACTTTTTACTGCCTGTCTCCGGGGCAAGAAGTGAGTACATAACAAATAATGGTTGCTTCCAGGAAAAGAAGAAAGGACTAAAGAGGGATAGAAAAGAAACTGCAACTATAAAATTTATTTCTTCAAAACTGAAAACAAAACCCAATATATAGTATAGTACTCCAAACTTAGTCAGAATAGTGGGTAAATTGTCATGTGTTTAAATACTATTCTTTATATTTAAAATTTTTTTCATATTAAAAAAACACACAACACTGTACTTCCAACCCACCATAAAATTAATATTGTATTAGTAAAAAAAAAAATTAACTCTTAATGAAAGTGTATAAAAATTGCGGCCTACATAGATTCCATTAGTTGTGCACACAGGTTTAAAATACACTTTGATAGCTAGGTTTTCCTCTTGTGTTTCTGCCACCACCATGAGAACAACATACTTGAGAGTAGCTATTGTCCCATTAGCCAAGTCTCATGAAGCATTTGTAAGACTCAAATCATTTCTACAGCCTGGAGCCAAACCCAGTCAATCTCCAATGGACTCACAAGTCTGTGAGTGAAAAAAGCAACTGTCTGTTGTTACACACCCTTGAGATTTTAGTGGTTGGTTGTGAGTCGAAAACACTGTGGCAATAGGTAACTGACACATAAAGGTGCTTTATGATAACTTACTTACTTATATATATATATAAGTATAAATA